CCCTGCACATGCTGCCATTGTCCCTGCTAACAATGGGGAGAGGAGGGAGCGCTGGAGCTCATGACACAAACCCCAGTGCACGAGCAGCTGGCGGCTGCTCAAGGGAAGCTCTGTGTGTGCAGCCACAGCCTCGGCCCTGCCAGCACTGTCCGGTCACAGCCAGGGCTCCTGACAGCCTCAGGGTAGGACTGAGCCCTGTGTAGTGCCACAAAGGGGCAAAACTGCCTTTATTTGTCATGGAATCGTGGAATATTCTGGATTGGGAGGGGTCACTGAGTCCACACAGCACAGCCCCACAATTCCCCTCTCTCCCTRAGAGCGCTGGCCAGGCGCACCTGGAGCTCTGGCAGCCTTGGGACCATGAYTGTTTCCTGTGGTGCCTGTTCAGTGCCCCAGCACCCTCTTTTCCTAATATCCAACCTAAATCTCCCTTGGCACAGCTCCAGTCATTCCCTCAAGTCCTGTCCCTGGTCATCCAAGAGCAGTTATCAGTGCTTCCCCTCAGGAGGAAGTTGTAGGCTATGTTTAGCTGTAGACTGTATTTAAGCTGCCTCTCTGAAGAGTCTGGGGCTTCTTGGCTGGCTCAGAGCACAGGGAGACCCTGCAGGCAGCTGCTTCCTCTCTGGTGCTGTCCCTAGGAACCTGTGTGGTGAGAGTTAACCAACTCAGCTTAATGGTTCCTTCATAAATAAGGAATGCTAATAAACACTTTCTATTCCTTAAGGCCCAGCAGAGAGGAAAAGAAAAATCAAGGAAGCTATTTCCATTTTCTGTAACTTGCATTAGTCATCTCTCCTGAGACAGTCAAAAGCATGGCTGGGGATGAGCGGCAGAAATGGTGCTGTGTTCCATAGTACTTTCTTTGTCCAGCAGCTTCACCTTTCCAAGGTGAGCAAATTYCCCTATAACAAAGGGGCTTAAGGTTTATCTGGGAATCAGCTCCCTGTCAGGGWCTTCTAATGCTGTACAATCTGGCACCAGCACCCACAGGACCTCCCCATTTTAAAGGGAGTGGGGGTGGTGGTGTGTCACAGGTGTTCAGCAGGAGAAGGAGGGAARTTTCAYCACCTGAAGTGGCAGCTTTTCCCAMTTCCAACTCTCTGTCCATATTCATTCCTGTCCAAAGAGTGCATGGGATGTGGCACCTTGCAAAGAGCTTGGTCCTGTGACCACTGACCCAGCAGGTAAGAGACAGATCTGCAAACTCTGAGCCAGGAGTCACCTGCCAAACCTGCCCAGCTCAGCTGGCACAGATTCCTCTCCTGCCCCCAGGGATAAGTCTCCCTCTCAGCTCAGCAGAGACCAGGTTTGCAGGGCACTGTGCAGAAAGCAGCTCTCCCAAAAAAAACCCAGCCCCTGCCAAGAACTGACAGGATGCGATGGGAGGCGGTGAGGAGGAGGCTGGAGCAGGCAGCCAAGCACCCTTCCCACTCAGTCTGGAGAGCAGATGGAGCAAACTAAGAGCTCTCTACCTCAGTCAACCTCCTCTTCCAGGCTCAGCTCCTGCAAGGAGGCTCTTGCAAGGAGATTTTAGTGGTCTTGGGCTGAAGGCAGAGAGATATCACCCACCCCTCCAGATGGATTTCCTGCTTGGGCAGGAAAACTGCATGCTGGGCTCTTATCTGGTGGATCCCAGCAGGTATTTACCATGGAGGACCCCACACTGCAGTGAATACTCAGTGCTGGCAGCCTCCCAGAGAAGCCCCCATGACAAAATTCCCACTTTGGAGCACTTGTATGACTGGATGTAAGCACAGAGCCCAGGGCTACAAGAAGCTACAGGACACACTGTGCAGCAAACAGGGAGGAACAGAGGGAAGGGAGGGATGTTCTTTCTGGCAATTGTGTCAGTGCAGGGCCAGAGCTGATTGCTCACAGGCGCTCCTTAGCCCTGATCAGTGTTAGACTGAAGTCTTCAGTCTGTGGGGTTCTCTTTGTGCAGGACACAGGCACAAAGCAGGTAGAGACCCCAGGCCGGTGCTGCAGCCGGAGTCCTGCCTGCCCCTGTTTTCCATGGCTTCGTGCTGCCTGCAGGAAGCAGGGGAGCACAGTCTCCTCCACCCCTGCTCTGTGCAGCACCGCCACAAAGCCCAGGGGCTTCATATCTGGGCCATGCTACATTTAGCATCTGTGGGGCCTCACTGAGCTCCCGAGGGCCATTCTGTCCCTCCAATCAAGGGCACAGCTCTTCTGCWGCCTCCCTTCCTTGTCCCTCAAAGACCGGGTGGGAAGGACTTGGGTTTGGCTTAGTAGAGTGAAGAATAAACCCTTTGCATGCCTCCTGTCCCTGGGGCAGGGGCTGAGTTGTGGGGCAGGTGAGCATCAGCCACTCTCAGGGCTGTGATCTCTGCAGATCCACCACTGATTCCCAGATGCCCTCCCTTACTTGTCCATGCTGTGACTCCCCAGCACTAGTGGCCTTGGAGTGGGTGTCAGGGGTCTCCCCACAGCGCTGCTGCCCTCAGGTCCYGTTGTCCATGTCCTTACATCTCCTCTCCCCAGCAACTGGCAGTGTGGAAGCAAATGGTTGCTGCGTGGGCATTGTTTTGAGCAGGACCAGGGTGTGCTGCTGTGCAGTGATTCATGAGCAGGAGGGAAAGGGAGAGACTCTGCAATTCCTGTGTTTGGGATAGGCTGAGGGCAGGGTAGAGATTTTCCTCTTGGGAAGGATGTGCATCCACCTTTCTCCTACAAGGGTGTCTCCTGCAGCACAATGTCCTTGGGCAAGGCCAGGTTTTAATTGCTGCAGCATCACCAGACACCCGAGTCATGGTGCCCCTCTGAGCCTCTGCTGCCAGCCTGCCTCAGMGGCTACTGAGCTACTGGGAGCTGTGAATCTCCCCACAGGGACATCCTCTCCAGAGAGGATCGAGGGGCAGTTTGACTGGGCTGAGGTCCCAGGGAAGCTGCCTGTGCCCTGCCTCTGCTGGTCCGTCTGCCCTGCCGCATCCACTTGCTCTGCTGGTGTCTGCACTGCTGTGCTGCACTGTGCCTGTTTGGCTGCCTCCTTGTCCCTTTTGCTGTCTGTCTCCCTGACTGACACCTGCCACTGCAAACACCGCCTGCCCCCCTCTCCACTGCTCTGTCATTATTAGGTTTTCTCCTCCCCCCCTTTCCTTTGGCCTCYATCCAGAGGCCTCTGCATTAGGTGTGACTTAGGGGGTGCTTTTCTCTGGTTTATGGATAGCAGCCAGGCTGCAATCTGCAGCAAAAGGACTATCCAGAGGGAAAACCTCTGCAAGGAGCCTCCTGCAAATACCTAGGCAGGACAGTGGCTGCCAGCACTGCCCAGAAACTGCATACTCACGCCTGCCTCCACAGCACTGCAGCCAGAGAGTGAAAGGAAGCCCAAATATCTTGCAGTGGGACTTGGAGCACTGCATACCTCCAAAAACCAGTCCTTGGAGGTTGAATTCCCTGGTTCCATATGGGGTAGCTGGGGGTGAGGGTGGGRATGGGGAGGATACACCGCTGGGGGAGATGTGAGGCTCAGTGTGAAAAGGGCCTGTGTGTGTGTGTGTGTATGTGTGTGTGTGCATGGTTACATGTGCTGCCCCACATCACAGCTGTGTTTGGACGCAGACCTTGTGCTTGCAATTTTTCCACTCTGCCAGCACTGCAGCATGYCTCATGTCTGTCTCTTTGCCTTGCATCCATCTGCTCCCAGTCTCCATATCTTTCCATGTCAGTTTGCCATGCCTCTCATGCCATCTCATGCTGGCCCGGTCTGAGCCATCCTGGGCCAGCAGTCTGGTGTGTCATTGTGCTGCCACAGTGCCTTCAACACCAGCTGCCACAGCAGACAGGATCAGACCTTTGCCCTCCTCATGGAAGCACTCTGGGACCCTGCTGAACACTCCCAGGGCACCACAGSCCCCCCCAGGCAGCTTGGGGGACTGTGCCCTTTTGGGCCAGTGCACCTGCAGCCCACGCAGTGAGCGAGCAGCCAGATCCAGGCTTTTGTAGAATTAGCAAAACCCCCTGCATAGCCAGCTTGCAAAACCTCAGCACTCTAGTGTCACCTGAGATCAGGTTCTGCTGGAGCAGAACATGACTTTTGTATCAACTTTCCCAGTGTCAGCCCTTTTAGCACAGCCCAGCCAGGGTGTGGGAGGAGGTGAGGATGGGGCAGGCCATTCTGTGTATTTCTGTGCCTTTCTGGGATACCTCTGAACCCAAATTCCTGGGGAAAACAGCTCCCTGATGCTGCCCTCCTCTCCTGTCACGACTCTGCTTGAGAGCAGGGAAGGTCTTGTCCCAGGCTGCTTTCTGGATCCAAAGCCATTTTGACTGTGCAGAAGCAGCTCTGCTTATCCCCTTCTCAAACATTTACTGATGGGAGCCTGTGTGGAGCAAAACCTCAGTGTGTCCTCATTGTCATTAGACCTGGGCCTGAAGCTGAAGGTCTGTGGCCAGTGGCATCACGGGCAGAGATTGTGGATGTGACACTTGGGGCCATGGCTTAGTGGTGGGTTTGGCAGTGCTGGGATAGCTGTTGGAGCTATCTCGATGGAGTTTCCCACCTTAAAGATACTGTGACTCTTTGATTCAGCTGTGTGTCCTGCCTTTCCCTCCATGATTTCCCACATGGAGGAGATGTGTGTCACACAAGCCTTTGGTGACTTGGTGCAGGGTGGCCTCTTTGATGGCACCTGCCCCCTCCTCAGCAAAGCCCACGCCAAGCTCCTTTTCCCCTTCCCAACCATCCTCCTTTCCCAGCAAAACACCWCCCACGCTGCCGGGGAGGATGAAGGTTGGCAGCTCTTCCGCAAAATGATGTTCCCATGGCAATGGGATGCRTCGCCTTTCCTGGGGAGCATAAGGGGGGTCGAACAGGACCCTCAGCATCAGTGCGCGCCCCTTGTCCGGGGCGGGGGTGTCCGAGTCCCGCAGAGGCAGGGCCCCCCCGCACCGCCCCCCGCCGCAGGGCCGGGGGCCGAGCCTCAGTGACGCCTCCCGGTCCCCATTCGCTGGGTCCGCCCGCCCAGCCCTGCCCAGACTGCGGGAGCGACGCGCCCACAGCCCGCCGGGCAGCCCCGGACAGCGCCGGCAGCCCCGCAGGCAGCGGGCAGCACCGGACAGCGCCCGCAGGTAGGCACCGACCGCCCGCAGCGSCCCGCACCCCGCCGGGGCGGGATGGGCTGCTGGGCTCGGGGCACGGCGCGGGGCTGCGGGCGCGGGGAGGGTCCGCAGCCGCCGGGCGCGGCGCTGGCACCGGCAGCATCTCGCCCCTCGCCCGGGGGATGCTCGGCCGGACGGAGCGCGCTGGCGGAGGGGACGGGCTCCGCTTCTCGCCACGCTGCCGGTACCCCCCACCCCGGCTCGGGACTGCGGCATTCCCGGTGGGCGCGCCCGCGCGCACGCCCGCACCGCAGCCGCGYTCCCGCTCCGCGCTGCTGCAGCGGGGGATGTCGCCCATCCCGAGCCCTCCTGCCCCTCGCTTCATCCCTCTTCCCTGCGCACCGCATCCCCGAGCACCCCCTTTGCTGGCAGCCAACCCCCGGCACAGGCAGGTTCCTCGGCTCTGGAGTTCTCTCAGCCCACCAGTCTGGCTCTGCACGCCTCCGTCCCCATCTCAGCAGCTCGTCTGTCACCCTTAGCCTGTCAGTCTGGTGGGCACAGGGGGTAGGTACCGCCACGGTGTGAGGCTGAGCAAGTGGTCACCGTGCCGGGAACTTTGCCCCGCAAGAGCTGGAGCCCCCCCAATGCCACCGTCCTCAATGCCACCGTCCTCAATGCCACCGTCCTCCTGAGCCCTGTCCCTACGCCAAACCCCTGGGATCATGCAGGAGGGAGAGTTACCGGCCGTGCTCTGCTCCCAGCACTGCTGTCAGGAGGAAAAGAGGGGTCCAAGGGCTGTCATCGCAGAGGCTGGAGAATCTGAGTGCTTGGGTACATTGATGGGAGGAAGACCCCCCCCCTCTCTGGGGGCTTATTGGCACCGATTTTCTGGAGGAAAGCCAGCCTATGACCTAGATAGTGTCCCAGGACATTCAAAAAGGAGGAGGTTGATTCTGGGAAATGACAAAGCAGAGGACTGGGGGGCAGTTTCTAGGAATCCAGAGGTTCAAGCATCTGCCTCACTGGCAACCTCTTAGTTGTCAAGATCAGACAGAAGGGAATTTTTCTTCCTGGCCAAGGTTTAGGGTTCTGGATAAACAGATTTTTGAGAGCTTCAGGGTGAGCAAATGGGTTTGGTATTTCCTCTTAGAACGTTATATGAAAGACCCAAAAATTGCTTAATAGAAAAATCCAACTGGCTGTGGTACAGGCAATTCCTAGCTCTTCCCTGTGTGCTTTGCCAGGTTCAGAAGGAACAGAGGGTCTGTTTTCCCCTCTGCCAGCTTGGAGTCACGAAGGGGTGGTCTATCAGCTCCCCCTCTTGGAGCTGGCCCCACATGGAGGGCTGACTGCGGGCTGCTCGCTGCGTCCTTCATCCCGGCGGCTGCCTCGCTGCTCCCCCACCCTGTCGCTCCATTCCGCATGTCTGCGGCTGGATTCCCCACGCGGCTGCTTGGCCAAGCTGCAAACCTTTAATTAATTCCTTGTGGCCGCATTGGGACGGCTGGAATMGGCAGCCCTGGTGTTTTGATGGCACATCACGGCCCCATACCCGCATTCACAGCCTGGAGAAAGACAGGCACCGGGCCGGGACCCAGTGAGGGGATGCTGCCACTCAAACCCCTTCCAGCCTGCGGCCAGGCAGGCTGAGCTCAGCTCCTGGAGGTTTTGTGCCATCCTTTGGCGGTCTTGGCTCCCTGTCCAGCTGCTGTGTCCCTCTTCCTCGCTGCTTTTGGCCCCTTTCCCTCCCTGCATCGCAGTGACTCATCCTTGCTGAGCTCACCCGCTGGAGCCACGGGAGCGCTGGCAGGGCGGGCRCCCGCCGGCCCCGAGACCGGGTCCCTCACCTGGCAGCCCCCTCACYGTGAGCCACGGACCTCTGGTCAAGGGGTTCAGCCTGATTTCACCTGCCCRAACCTTGGCTGGCCATTGGGTAGAACGGGGGGAAGGCAGAGCATGCAGGCCTTGCTGCAGGTCTGGCAATGCTCATTTAATGTCTGCTAGGGGGGGATCTGGACARGGAAAATAAGATGTGGATGGGGCCTGAGGATGTGGATGGGTGATGCTAGGCAGACACACAGCAATTCCCAGCTGGCTGCAGCACCAGCCGGGCTCTGTGCAGTGAATCAGAACCATGGTGAGGAGGAGGAGGCACCAGAGCATTGTTTGTGCATGAAGGGCAGCCTGTGCCATGCCTGCACCACCGAGTGACCACATCTGTGGGGCAATGGCCTGGCTAACTTCCTCTCTGTCCCCCCGCCCAGGTTCCCCTCTCAGAGACAGCCTCCACCGGGCACCTCAGCAGCAAGATGAACCCCACCGTGGGCATTGCTGTCATCCTGACAGGTACATCCCTCCCTGCTCCCCAGCCAGCTCGGCCCAGAGCAGCCTGGAGGCTGCATGGGCACCCCCAGAGCTCGCYGTTCCCTCTCCAACCCCCTCCTGCCTCTCCCAGTCCTCCAGGCCGCCCACTGCCAGATGATCAAGGACCTGAGTGCCTGCCTGCTGGGCCAGAACCTGCGCGTGGACTGTCGCTATGAGAACAAAACCGACAACCCCCTGACCTACGAGTTCAGCATCACCAAGGACAACAGGAAGCACGTCATCCACAGCACCATCAGTGTCTCCGAGAACATCTACCGGAGCCGAGCCAATGTCACCATGCAGAGGAACCTGGTGTGCCTCCACCTGCAGAGCTTCACCACCAGCGATGAGGGCATCTACATGTGCGAGCTGAAGGCCACCAATGACTACACCGGCAACCAGATAAGGAACATCACTGTTATCAAAGGTGAGACAGGCAATGGCACCCAGCTGCAGCCCTTCCCACCTCCTCCTTGGCTTGACTAGGCCTGTAGAGAACACCACAACTCCCTGTGGTGTMCCCAGATCCTTCCTGAGCTCCATAAATGTGTCCTGACCTTTACATGCCCTYCAGATGGGCTTCATCCCACAGAAGGGCTCACTCTGCCCCATCTCACTCYGCTTTTCCTGCCTCTTTTGGGTCCCACCTCAGGCACATTGCCTAGATATCCTCCCACAGAGAGGACAGTGAGGGTTTTCCACACCTACATCCCTCAGGAGCAGTTCTCCAGTTGCAGAGGCCTTCATCTCACCGGGTGCCCATCCATTTGCCACTTCAGTCAGGAACAGGCAGGGTTATGCTTTTCAGGGTCCCAAAAAATCTTTGCTGCTATGTGTTGGGAGGGAAACAGGCCAGAGCAGGACTTGCTGCATTTCTGTGGCAGAGCAAAGTCAAGAAGCTGGGTTCCAGCACCACCAAAGCACCCAGCCCAAGCCCAGTCCCTGAAGGATTTCATGGTTTCTCTTCTCTCCCTCCTCATTCCTTCTCCTCACAGACAAACTGGAGAAATGCGCCGGCTTCAGCCTCTTGATCCAGAACACCTCGTGGCTCCTGCTGCTGCTCCTTTCCCTGCCTCTCCTGCAAGCCGTGGACTTCGTGTCCCTGTGAAAGGCAAAGCACACTCACACCCGCACACACTCACACTCACACACACACAGCGCTCGYACACACACGCACGCACACACCGAGCACCTCAGCCACCCCGCCTTCCTCGCAGCCCCTGGAAAGAGAAGCTGAAGCGTCTGGAAGCCGTGAAACCTCTCTGTGTTATCTCTATTTAGCCGTATATCTAACGCTATCCACCGTCCCGTGCCGAGGCCCGCCATCCCACGCACACGCGCCCCGCTCCGAAGCATGGTGGCTCTGCTAGGCAGCGTTGCTTCTCCCATCATGCCTCCTCGCTCTGTAGGCTGGCTGGTTTGCTTGTGCTGGGAGCACTGAGGCCTCAGCCTCGCTTGTTCCATCCCTTTAACTCTTGGGGTTTGCCTGTTCTCARCTGGGGAAAGACAGCTGGATCGGCAGGTAAGAGAGAGGGGTGGTGCGAGAGCGTGTGGAGGGTGCCCATGGTGGGTGCTGTGCCCACAGCCCCTGGAGGTGACAGGGCTGTTGGTGTCCCCACCTGCCTTGCCTGCCAGCCGGGTGACTGATTCCTCACCCTGCTCCTCTCACCCTGAGCTGGCACAGCTGGGAGGGGCACAGAATGAGTCCTGTCTCAGTGAACAGAGGAGCCACGGGATGCTGCTGGGCCTGGCAGGAGGGGAGGAGAGGGGGAGYGGGTTTAGGAGACACCACAAACAGCCCCCTGCCTCCTTAGGGCTGTCCTGGGGCCCTGGGATCGGGCTCGGTGAGAATGTGCTTCGGCAACAAGTTTTTCCTAATCTGTTTCTTACAGCGGAGTGGGAAGCGAGGCCTCCTGCAGACACCATCTGGTACCTTTGGGCTGCCCGAGCCAGAGACATCACCCACTCCCCCTGGGGACCAGCCCTTAGCTGTGACGAGAGAATTGCTGCCAGCACCAGTGGAGGCAAGCAGAGCCTCTCTGAGCTAGCCACAGCCCCACTCCCCTCTCCAGGGTCCCCAGAGCTGTGCCCAGGCTGGCTGGTGGGGAGGGGGCTCCCCTCGGACTCTGACCCCAGGGTCTCCATAGGGACTACTCTGCACCCCCTTGTCTTCCCTGAGGGAATGTCTGGGGACCCCAGTCTTTCCTCATGGAGAGGCAGAGCAGTCTCCCTCGAATCCCACCATGCCCCTGGGAGGAGCACCTGTGCCCCCTCCCTTCTCCCTCCTCCCTTTCAGCATTTCCCCATCTCCGTTTAAGAGCAGAAAAGGACTTGAGGGCAGCCCACAACCTCAGTAAGGCCAGGATGGTGCCTGGGGTTGGTGAGAGCAGGGACAGGGATGCCCAGCACAGCCCAGATTCGCCAGCCCAGGGCTGCCCCGATGCCCACGGGAGCCCGAGGAGCCTYCCCCAGGGCAGGGCACGGCGAAGGGAAGATGCAGGCAGGAGCATCCAGGTCCATGGGCTGAACCCCAGCTGTGCTTCCTGTGCAGCCCGGGCTGTGCCACCACGGCTTAGAGCAATACACAGCAGCTGCTCCCCACTCCTTGCTCTTCTCCAGAGCTGCTTCCTACCCCGGTGCCCATCCCCTGCCCATCCCTGCCTGCTTGCTTGCTGTCTAGTGCTGCTGAGGCCGTGCCCAGCTGAGGCCTGGCTGTGCCCAGCTCCCTGGGCGTGCTGGCGAGCACCAGGGCAGGCGCCTGCCCATCCCTGCCTGCTTGCTTGCTGTCTAGTGCTGCTGAGGCCGTGCCCAGCTGAGGCCTGGCTGTGCCCAGCTCCCTGGGCGTGCTGGCGAGCACCAGGGCAGGCGCAGAGCCCAGCGGCAGAGCGTGGACGCGGCTCGAGTCTCATTTTTTTGTGAACATTTGTAGTTGTTTCCACAGCTTGTCGTCAGAGAAATTCTGTTAAGGGAAAAGAAAAAAAAAACGGGGGAAAAAAGAGAACCCTGTGAAAAGCAACAACGATGAAAAAAAAAACCTTATCATCCAGGAGTGTTCCTCTGTCTGCACAATAAAACCCTACCTAGGTTGTGTGTTGGAGCCATGGGCGCCCGTGTGTGCGGCGGTGGGGACAGGGGCTGTGTGGGGCTGGGCTCCAGGACCTGCTGAGGGGTGCAGCCCCCCAGGCTGCCCCTCTGTGCCTCCAGCACCACAAAGCCTGTGGGAGCGAAGCAGACAGCGGGGCAAGGCATGCCTTCCCCGAGCAGGGCAACCTCCTCCTGCCCACCTGGAGCAGTGCCCAGTACCCAGACCCTTTCCCCCATCCCTAAATCCCCAGATTTAGGGTCCGTCCGTCCCCTGGGGAGGGAATTGCTGGGGATGGGAGTGGACACAGGAGTGGGGCTGGGTCACACCAGGGTCACACCAGGGTCCTGCCGGAGCCCCTGTGCTCACACACTGCCTCTGGGGCTGCCCAAGGCTCCCCTGTCCCCTGGAGGAGCCACACACTGCCCTGCCCAGGGTCAAGATGCCACCCTGGCACGAGGAACAACAAGCAGGATCYTGCCACCACCCCCTAACACCATTGGTGACCCTGTGCCACCTCCCAGAGTGACGCCCCGACGCGTCCCTCCCTGAAGGGCTGGAGCCAGGCGGGAGGGAGAGAGGGAGGGAAGAAGATGCCACCCTAATTACATCCCCCGTCATTATCCTCGCAGATGCTCGCTGAGTCACGRCCGCGCAGGTGCCGTACCCTGGGCGGGTCAGGCGTCCCCCAGCGGCCCCGGTGTCCCCATGAYGTCCCCACGGACCCATGAAGGGTGGGCATACCATGCCAGCTGCCCCCTGCCCACATTTGCTGAAGGTTTATGGGGCTTTTTTCCCATAAGTAAAACCCAGTCCAACTCCTCCCCTCGCCCAGATGCCCTACAGCAGACCTTACTGGGACCCCTTTTTTGTGGCTCCCTGCCCCCCACACCAAGCTGTGTCCCACCCCGTTCCCTCCCTTAACCCTCCACCTATCCTTTCCCTCCCACATCTCGATCTCCCTCCCTAAATCTCTCCCTTCCTCAGGCTCACCCTCAGCCATCCTTCTCCATTCCCACAGCCCCCGCTGCCCCCGCAGCCTCCCCTGCCGGGACCCCTTTCTTTGGGCCACCAGCCCCCTCGGGTTCACGTCCCCTTTAAGCCTCSGCGGGCTGGAATGTGAGAGGAGCATTTCAGCGCCCTGTGAGGTCAGATAAAGACACTATATTTATCTGGCTGGTAACCTGAGCCCTGAATTTCTGCGGTGGTGTTTTTACGCGGCCCCACAGCCTTCGGGCTCGGCCCCCTCCGGCCATTGCGCTGCCTCCCAGGGTGGAGGGGCTGAGCCGGGGGTGCCCCGTCCCCTCCAAAGGGCTCGGCTGCCACCCGTCTCCACATCGCCCGTCTCCGGTGCCCGGGGAAGCTCCTGGGGAAGCTCGGGCAGGATCGGCCCCGAGGGCATCACCAAATGCCTGCTCGGTCGCCCCTCGCCGTGCCCTGAGCAGCCACCGGCCACCCGCCTCACATGCAGGTGAGTGTAGGGGGTGCCGTGGGGACACCGCCCTGGGGAGGGGGACACGGAGACGGACAAAAMTGCTTCCTTCAGCTGGGTAAAAGCAGCTGGGGGAGAGATTCAGAGTTCACACACAAAATCTGGGCTTTGAGCCTCCCTCCCCGGCACCCTCCTCATCCCCCGGCGAGGGCAGAGCCGCCTGCCYGGGGGTCCCTTCTTTTTCTGCCACCCACAGACCTCAAAGCAATAACCCGTGCCCTGGCTCTTACGTCAGGGTCCCCGTGGGTTTGAGGTTTTGCAGCCCGGGGGTGACCCAGGAGCAGCGAACAGCAGGTTCTGCAGCCGGGCGGGGATGTGTCAGCAGCACGGAGCGAGGCCAGGGCGATGACTCCCGGACATGTGGTGGGAGCTYGGACGGTCCTCAGGCCGGGGCTGGCAGGGGAAGGGCCCTGGCCCCGGCTGGACGAGTCACCTTGGGCAGGGCCTGGCACTTTGGGGGTGCGAGTGATGGGGGGCAGCGCTGGAACTGGGCTGACTCCCCCCCAGTGACAGAGCAGGGCTGTGAGAGGGGCGCCGGGGTCTCCAGTCCCTTACAGAGAGCAAACACTGTGGCACATTCCCCCAGRGCTGCTTGGGGTCACCCTTCCTGGAGGAAATGGATACCTGGAGGCATTCGGTGCCTTCTCCCCTTGGAGAAAGGGCAGGAGGCTGTCCCACCCCCAGCACTCTCAGCCAGACACGGAGCCCCTCAGCCCCACGCCGCTGGTACTCTGGAGAGTGCAAAGTGCCTCACACAGGGTCCCTTCTCTGCCTCCACCGCTGCAGAACGCTGGGAGCTCCCACGTAACCTCCAGGCTGGGACATTGTGTCTCAGGGGACAGGGGACGCGGCTCAGAGCCTGCGTAAGCGAGAAGCAGCTGTGCTGTGACACCTTGGATGGAGCCAGCGCTGTGTAAGCTGAGCTGAGCCGCTCGGGGGCTCCGAGGGGGACMGCTGCCACCGGGCACGGGCACGGCCGAGGGGACACCTGCCACTGGGCACGGGCACGACAGCAGCTGGGGACAGAGCGGGGGCTCTGCTTCTCTGCCTCCAGGGTGAAGGTTTTGCCTCCCTGCCTTGAGCTGAGCTTCCCTCTGGGAAGGCCGGGACAGGACTCCCCAGCACCCCGAGCAGCCCCGCAGTGTCCCCACTGCCATGTCCTGGTGCTGCTCCTGCCTGGCCGCGTGAGTGCAGACCGGACATTCCTGTGCCTCAGCTTCCCCTGACACCCCGGGAGGATGATGAGGGTGCAGRAGGCCTGACTCAGCCGTGCCAGCCCCAGGGCTTTGCCAGGCAGCAGGAAAGCTCAGCACAATGACGGGCAGGGAGGGGCCAGGCAGCCCAGGAAGCGCTGGGAGGAACCGGGGTTTTCTCACACCCGCTCAGCTYCTCTGGCTCCCGGCACGCTCCGCTCTCCCGCCGCCCTGGGGTCCGCTCGGATGTGACACGGGGACTTGGAAGCACAGGCAAGCCTAGCAGATGTGACATTCCTCCATGGTAAGGCCTCTCTTCCCAAGAATAGGGTAGGTCCTGTGTCCGGGGCAGTGCCTGCTCCTGACCCCGCATCCCTCCATCGGCTCCTCYGCATCCCCAGGGCAGGTGCTGCCCTGTGGAGACCTGTCCTGCTGCCAGGGAGCACCTGCTGCCCTCCAGCTCCCAAACTGGTACTCTGCTGATGCTGCTGGTGCCAAAGGTGGTACAATGGGAGAGCGTGGGCACCTGGCAGGGGATGATAGTGTGGGGCTGTCCTGGCACTGTCCCAAGCCCTGATYATCTGCGCTGGCAGGGAGGATGGGGAGCAGGGGCAGTGCCTGTGCCAGGCTGMTCCGTGCCCCAGCAGGGCAGGCAGCCAGGCATGTGCTCCCTGGGAGCCCAGGGGCTCCGTCACTCATCCTGGCACTCGAGTGCCAGTCCCTTGGCTGGGGTCCCACTCTCTCTGAGCGAAATTCCCCACTGTCCATGTCAAATCCTGCCTGGCAGAGCCACTCTCCTGGTGAGGGTGGCCACAGCCAGGCTGGGAAGAGCCGGGTGTTGGGTTGAACCCTTGCCTGGGAGCAGATTATTCACCCTTCGGCCTCCGTCCCCAAACAGGTCCGTGTGCTCCACCTCGCTGCTGCTGCCTGTAAATATTTCCCTCTCGGCTGTGGGATGGCTGCTCCCGGGCAGTAACAACAGAGCCCGGCTGGCTGCAAAGCCAGGCTGCCGGCCAGGAGCCCACGGCGCTGGCCGGCGTCTCTCACCATCCCCTCCTAAAAGCATTCCCGGGGCATTTCCACACTCAGCCTCCAGGCTCGGAGCAGGAGCTGCGTCCCCCAGGGCCAGGCAGGCAGTGACATCGCAGTGGCTCCTCTTGCGGGACCCGGTGCCCATCCCCAGGTCCGGGTGCCCCCGCGGTGCTGCCGGGGCCGTGGAAGGGACGGGCCAGGCACAGGCTCCGGCACCTCCTGGCTTGGAGCCGGGCCAGAGCCCGCCCCGGCTGGGCTGGGAAAAGCCTTTGAATCAGGGTCATCTCCCGGGTGACTGGAGACTCTCGGAGCCACATGAGCCACTGTCCTGCCAGGGAAGGGACAGCAGTCACCCCGGGAGCCGAGCACCAGCAGCGCCGGGGCACAGGAGCTCGGCTGCGGTCCCGCCCGCCCCAGTGCCACCCACGGCCCCAGGACAGGTAGGGATCCAGCCGTCAGCTGCCGGCGTGGGTGCTGAGGGAGAACTCTCCTGCAGCTCCGGACAGCCCGTGTTTGGGGCTCCGGACAGCCCGTGTTTGGGGCTGCTGGCTGCCGCACTGCCCTGTCCCTGCTCCGGGCTGGCTCCGTGTGTGCTCTGGGGGCTCTGTCCCTGTCCCCTGTCTGCTCC